AGTACGCCATTGGAGCATTCGATTTGAGTTTCAATCGCGTGGCACACTGCATGTCCACGCCCTTCTCTGGGCCGACTTGCTCCCGGGCTGGGCAGTCGACGACATTGCTGGCCGAACGGGACAGTCTCGGAGCAACTTCCTGGACTTGCTGGAGAGGTTATTCAAGTCTCGAGCCGACGTTCAATGTGGTGACGGCAGCCATTGCCTTCTCCGCTACGTGGCCGGCTACGTGGCCAAGGCCTCGGACGCTCTTCAGTTCAATCTCAAGCAACTCGAAGGCGAGTCGACTTGGCGCCAGGCCTACAGACTGCTCACCAAGAAATCGCCCACAGAGCAAGAGATCATTATGGAGTTTGCGGGTTTGTCGATGGTTAAGCACAGTTTCAGCGGCCACGACGTCCATGCCCCAATCCCTGGCAGTGCTGCCAGAAACTCCTCTCGGCATGCATACAACGCGTACCAGTGGTACCTCACGAAGTCCGAAGATGTGTTTGGATGCTCCCGCAGCTATTCCTTTGTGCAATGGCTCCGAAAATTCCGCGTCACCGGCAACTCTCTGGAAGACATGACCCTGCATCTTCACAACCAGCGCGGACCCAAAGCAAACAAGCCGTGCAGCGTCGCAGTCGCCTTTCCATTCGAGCTCCTAGACATCTACGTTGGGGCCTGGGCCGCCACGTGCCTGCCCGGTATGCTTGAGGAAAGACTTTTGCCGAAAGTGCCGGACGACTTGAAGTTGGACGGCTTCGAGGTCGAGCTCCGCCGACGCCGATCCTTCGAATGCCCTGCTCACTGCGAGCACGTGAGGGCCGTCCTGTCCCTCGACGATTTCCAGTTGCCCGGCGCAGACCCCGACGTCTACTGTCCAGACCTCAGCAAGTTCTTCGATCTCGTCGTGCCGGAACTCACTTTGCGTGGTCTGAATACCGATCGCATCGCAACGTTCAAGGCAAAGATCGAGGCGACGAACATGCTCTTGTTGGCCATTCACCGCGGCCTCGAAGACGCCAGCAATTGGTCTTCGCACAGGCTTCCAGCTTTTCCTCGGCCGGTCTGGTCACCCGAGCAACAGCAAGTCCTGAAGTGGGTGAGCGACGGACTCAGGATCAGCGACGCGGCAGCCATGGCAACATCTCCGCGCATTTTGCAAATCTCCGGATCCCCATGCACCGGAAAAACAGAAGTAGTGATCGGAGCTGCACGCATGGCTTTGGACAGTGGCTGCGCCGTTCTCATCGGCGGCCCCATCGGTCTCCTAGTGGCGATGTACAAACTCCGACTGCCGGCATCAGAGCTCCTGACCATGGAGACAATCCACTCAGCTTTCAAGTTGACGCGCGAGGCTGACGAAGCCTACATCCCTCCCGGCAGGCTTCGCAGATACGATGTTATCATCCTCGACGAAGTGTCGCAGATCGATGCCAGGGCTTGGAGACAGCTGCAAACCGCCTTTCGCGAGCTGCATCCGGGTCCACTCATTCTCTTTGTTGGAGACTTCCAGCAACTGCAACCCATCTCAGGTGGCCCTGTCCTCCAACAAGATCTACAACACGAGGTGGAGAATACGACAGTCGCGCATGTACAACTCCAGCAACACCAAATGGCCAGATCCGTCGAACCTGCCATGCTTGAGTTTCTACATAAGATCCGTCTCGAGCAGCCCTCGCGCGAGGATCTTCAAGACTTCTTCGCAAACAGAATTTGGCCATCAGATCATGTTGCGGCCACATCCAAGGCTATG